AAAGAATGCTCTGGGTGCAGCTGGTTAACCCACACGGACAACAGCGTCCAGACAAACATCCAAATCGCCAGAAGAGGCAGCGAAAGGGGAGCTAGAAAACCGGTGTGTGGCAGCGTGATGCCTCTGGGTGCATAAATACAGGTGCACACGTAGAAGGATTTATCTGTGGGACAACATGCATTATTTAAAAACACTCTGATGTGACTGCTCCACCTTTAAATAGCAGTATTCCTGTTCATGTGTTTACTTACTCTGATTTAAATAGTTTGGGTTTATTTCAGTTTAGGCACCAACATTGTAGAGTTGCTAAACCATCCTGGGATATTCTGGATAAGAGGTTTTTCTTTACTACCAGTGGATTCATGATTACATTTTTCTTATTGTATGTGTCCATGGACTTTCCCTTCAGTTTTGGCTCTGAATGCTTTGATACACACTGTAAGCAGTTACTGGCACTGATTGCCTGGGCAAGGCAATTGCCCAGTTGATGGCTGGGAGCTAGCCATTTGGGGTTGAAATCACCTACAGCTACTTACAGTGGCCCACCTAGGGATTTCAGAACAGTAGTTTTAAGGAATCACTATTTCAGCTCTTTGAGCAGTCATTCTAAGTCTTATAATTAAATGGTCACTATTACTTTAGACTATTGCTACTTTTTATGTATTGAGTTGTGTGTCCTTGGACACGTTCATTCCTTTCAGAGGGGTCAGTTTCCCAGTACTCCATGCTGCCTCTTGTTCTGGATCATCTTTCTTGCTGCTTTGATAAATAAAATAACAACAAGATGCCCTGGCACCTGGCTGCCAGGCCACTAAGCTTAGCCAAAGACATTTTTCCTTTCTCTGTATCACTTTGCTAGACATTTTTTGTGTGCTTGCTGTGAATGTCACCTACACCTACACTTTAAGTACGTGATTTATATATATAATTTAACTTTAAAAAAATTGTATTTATTTTACTTTTTTTCTAAACATTTAAAAACCCACAAATGTCTGAAGTAATTTGAAGATTTCCTTGCCAAAATTGTGGTTCTCCAGCTGATGGCAGCTCATAGTTACTTCCATCATTTTGAAGTGAGCATAAAGAGGCTCTATAACACCACTGCAGTTCGTAAGTAGCATTTCACACAGTTTTGCAGAGATGCACATAACTATTCTAGAGGCAGTCATGTCTTTCCGTCCATTTCTTCCTTACTCTTTTTCTAATGCTTGTCTTATTCTATACCTTTTCCTCCAGAGGGCGGTAACTACATGGATGTAGAATGAACAAACAAACCTGTGCCGGGCAGGAGTGTTTTAAAGGGAAAGGTAAATTGCTTCATAGTCTGGTACTAGTCACGATGCCTGGAGCCTACTACAGCAAGGGGTGTTGCATGAACAGTCACCATGTTGGTTTTAGGAAACCTGAACTCTGTAGGGCTAGAAGGGTGTTCCCTTGTTTCCACTTCTGTTCTTTATTGGGACTGTCATTTGCCACTTACTTCTTTTTCTTCACCTCTGAGCACTTACTGGCTGAGATAGGAAAGCAAAGCAAGTGGCTTCTGCTGAAAAAATTCTAGAGCGGAATTAAAACAACCCCTGTCTTTGTGGATCAAGTAACAGATACTTAAAAGAAAAAAGTGACAGATCTTCTGAGTGAGCCAACATATTTGTGTTAAGAGCTGCTGAACAAATTGGGCTCACAGGAATGAACAATCCCACTCCATAGTGTAGAATCATGAGGGGTAACTTTTTCCACCCACAAAATAGGTTTTACATTTCAAAACTCCCCTCTGCTCCAATTTATCCAAACTATGGCTATCAAATAAGATACTGCTATAATTTAAATTAAAATTTAGTTGGCACTGTGGTATTACTCTGCCTTTAGAAGCAGACCTTTCTTTCAAAGGCTATGCAGTGTTAGCCTAACGTGAATTAAGCCTCACAAATCACCGTGCTGTGAGAGTGGGTAGACAAAAGAGATTCAAGCTGGGTATGCAAAGCCAGAGGGAAAGGCATGAGCAGAGCTAGTAAGAGGGCTAATGTAGCAGGCGTGCTGTGTTCCCTTAGAAATAAGTAGAAGAGGATGAAATAGCCACACTAAGACAAGGGAATAAATGCTATAAAGGTTTTGGTATAACAGGAGCATTTGTAGAAGGCAAAACCAAAAATTAAAACAAACCCTGGTTGCATCTCCACAGGCAGCTGAGCCAAGACCCATCCCAGAGGACAAATTAAAGTCTAGACATGGCAGCTCCCCTCAGCAGCTTCACATGGCTGCTCTGGAGCTAGTGGTAGGACAAGGGGTAATGGGTTCAAACTTAAACAGGGGAAGTTTAGATTAGATATAAAGAAGAAGTTCTTTACTGTGAGGGTGGTGAGGCACTGGAATGAGTTGCCCAAGGAAGCTGTGAATGCTCCATCCCAGGCAGTGTTCAAGGCCAGGTTGGGCAGAGCCTTGGGCGACATGGTTTAGTGCGATGTGTCGCTGCCCGTGGCAGGGGTTTGGAACTGGATGAGCTTATGGTCCTTTCCAACCCAAACTATTCTATGATTCTATGATTTTAGTAAGGCACTTTGCTTAGTAGTACTTCATTGCCATGCAAAATACATTTGTGAGCCTGATTTAATATTGACTTCCAAATCGCCTTCCCCAAGGTAACAGCTTTAATGACTCAGATAATGGCTGTGAGCCTCCCACCATAGAATAATTTTCTTGGATACTGCTTCTGGTTATGTTGAGACTCTAACCCTTTGGAGTTAGGGGACAGGAACTCCCTGGCACTTGGCTCCATATAAACCAGACTAGATAAAACATGCTGAGGAAATGTGAAGTGTATTCTGTCCAAGTGGCAGCTAAGAGGCTTCCCTGTTCACACATATTTATCCAGCAGTGTGATACCATTCAAAAAATACATAATTGGTGGGTATGAACCAACTCACCCAACCCTCCTGCAATGCTGCTTTGTGAACTACAAGCCCCATTGACGATGGAAATGTATGACACTTGTACTTTGTGTTCTTATTTCTTAATACTGCAAGATATAATGCTGTCATCTTAGTGATATGCTGTGTCCTTTAGTCCCTTGCATTCCTTTCCAGGTAAGACTGTCAGAGGCTTGTGGAACAGGAGTTAGTCCAAATTGCAGTGTCAAATTCCAAGCACTTTATTAAAAGCATATGAAACCTCACTTTATCTTCCACAGATGGTTGCACAGCTTCTGAGAATCTCTCTCTGCAGCACGAGTTTGAGATGTTCTGCAGAGTGGTGGTCTCCCTAAGGTTTTACAAGATGAAATCCTGCCTTAGACCACCAGTACTGGGCATCTAGGAGACAGCATGCATATTAGCTGTAGTAGAAACCTGCTCTGTGTTGACTGTGCCCTTCTGCTACCCTGAAAGGATAGTCACCTATCTCACATCTCTTCCCTCTTAGCCCTAATGGGTGCCTTGTATCCCAGCGTGAAAACACACCAATAATTCTATAGCTGTTTTTTTCTTTGACACTACTAAGCAAATGAGTGCCTGGAGGAGTTAGCTCCTAACTGCACCTTTTCTTTCTCCATCTGCAGCAGGCAGTGACACAGCTCATGCATTTCATCTGCATAACTGTATTCTATGTCCCTCCTTTTACTGCTGTTCATTCTACACTGTCCTGCTGGTTCTCTGGCCCTGGTTTAATGCCCTTAGGTATTACACAAATAATAGCAAGCAGATGCTGCAAATACCCTGCTCTGGAACTGGTAGCACTCCTTAAACAGCAGTAACAGTTCTTCAGTTTTCCTACTTTCAGCACTAGAAGTAACGCATTAAAAATACCACATATCCTATGAGAACACCAAGGTGTATTATTCTAAAAAATAAAGCCTTCAAAAACCAGATTCCAAATTAATTGAGCAGGCTAAAGGAGAAAAAAAACAAAGGAGTTTTCCGAAATGCTACGAATTCTTCAAAATGGGAAAAAGGACAAAAATGGATGTAAAAGCCAAAGTTGCTATAGAAAGAATAATAGTGAAAGATTCATTGTAGTCTTTCATTGGGTTATTGACATTCTAACTTCTTAATAATTAATATATCCTGGAATGATTGTCACAATGAGTCAAGAGGGCAAGGATGAGTAGCTGTCTAGCCAAATTAGGATAACTTCAGTGCTTACAAGCTATCTTTGAGTAGCTGTCTAGCCAAATTAGGATAACTTCAGTGCTTACAAGCTATCTTAATAAGTAATCATAATTTATTGGTAAGTGTGACAGTGGGTGAAATACATGAAACTAGGAGAGGATGAGTCAAGCTTTCATGTGTCTGAGTCATGGTGAACGATTTAATACAGTTTCTTTACCAGACTTGGAGGGATGATTTCCAGATGAGTTGGTACATCTGTACTGGTTTGGAAACAGTGGACATTAAGCAGTGATACTTTATCACAGCCTGCCTGCTCTTAGCTGCTTCACAGTTTTGGAGCCAGTCAGGCTCAATCTCATTTGGAATCACTATAATATTACTCAGTGGGGACAGAAGTGAGGCAGCCTAAAAAAGACTAAAGGAAACGGATTGTGATGAATTCCTAAATGGTATTAAAGGAGAGACCATAAGACACAGGCACTATCAATAAACCACAATGTAACTTTTTTAAAATAGATTTTATATTTAGATAATAAAGCTTTACAGAGTCATATGATTAAAAGAGATACAAGCTTTTTAGAAATACCTTTGGTATATAATTTTTCTTTCTGCATTTAGTCAGTCGTAAGCACTATCTACATTAGGGCTATGACACATAAAAAATAACATGTTAATAAAATGGCAGAAGAGGTTTAAGAGTTACATAAAAACTCCATGCTGGTTATGCTTGTTTGGTGTGCATCCTGTCATATTTCACCCATGTAGGTTTTTTCCAATCATATTTCATCATGCTTTGGTGGCAAATAGAAGAGTAGTATACAAAAAGGAAAGTACATGGGTAATTCATTAATGCTTCAGATGGAGAAAATTGGCTCATTTTATTAAAACATGAAAACCTCAATTTATTATGAAATAATATTTATTTACAGGTATTTTACAGTGTTAGAAAATAATACAATTGTACTTTAAAATGCTTCATTAATTTTTATTACTTATCCGCTTGTACAAAAGAAGCAAAGACACTGTCATCTTGTTCTAGCAGAACCTCAGGCTTGTCATATTCCAAAATAACCCCTCTCTTCATTACAATAACCAAATCTGCATTGAGGATCGTGTGCACTCGGTGCTGAAAAATGAATAAACAAAATACCAGTTCAGTATTTCTATCAAATATATTCCAGGATAAGACAGAATTCCAGAAATTAATTTTCCTATCAAGTTTAGTTAAGGCTACTGTGGACCATTACACACCAAGAGCCACATGAATATTCAAGTACCTAAATTGCACACAGGTAGTTGGCTATGAAGAGTCATATGGGTTCAGACTACAGTGTTCCTAGCCCAGAGTACTCCCACCAAGCGTTGCTACAAGGCAGGTAGCCAGGAAGATTGGGAATAGGGCGAGTGTGGTACTGCATGAGGGTACTCTCCCAGTCTTGGACTACATCTAGGTCAGGGGGGTTCCTGAGCTTGGTGTGGTTTGTCCATTTGTAAAACTGACTAGATGTCTCTAAGATCTTGCCAACATCTCTTGAGCTTTCATCAATGTTTTGCATTCGCATCCTTTGGAATAGATTTTTCCAGGTTTGGTCCCTACTGCATGAATACCCCATTTTGTATGCTCTGGGCCTCACTGCCTCACTGCTCAGAGCTTCACCTGATGCCCCTTTTGCCTCGTGGTTTTGCAGACCTCTCACATGTCCTTATATTGTCTTTCTTCCAGGCAGAGGAGGACTAGCCTACTCAGCTGCTCCCCTTAAGAAGCAGTTCTCCACCTCCAATCATCTTGTTTGCAACATTTTTCAGTTGTAATGCATCATTCTGGGGATGAGGAGACTTGAACTAAGTGCATTATTCAAGGAATGTGTGAACTATAGACTTACATAGTGGCATGATGGTTTTTTTTTTCTTCTCTACCCTTTTCCTAGTAAGCCTAGCATTTCATTATTTTATTCGGAAGAAACCTCCCTATTTTTTTCCACAGTTAATACTGAAAATAAGTAATTTAGCTTTTCTATGATACTTTTTCTGTTATCTTTCCTGAGCATTCTTTTCATGTACTGATCATCAAATAGCCCTATAAATTGACAGAGTTCTTGCTCCCAGTGTGTTTCAGGGATTCATGGATTCACTATTAGCTTTGATGGCTTCCAGAAGGGTCTTATATCTTTTTTTTTTCTGGCCTGCCTTATTGCATTTTCACATATAGCATGCCAGAGCTTATGATAATTTCGATTTTCTTTACTTGTCTATGACTTCAGCTTTTACAAGAATGTCTTCTTGTTTCTAATAATTTTTTTTATTTGTTTAGCCACACCAGCTTCTTTCTATCCTAACAGATAGCATGCACTGGCTGTGAGATTTTTGAATAAAATCCTTCTGTAATTTCCATGATCGCTGACAGATTCAGTTTTCTTCACTTCTTTTAGCTTTTTTCCCCTGCCATTTTTTTGTATTGTTTTCTTTTTAGCAAGTTTCCTCATTTTTACAGAATTCCACTTTTATGTAAAATCCAACTGCATCAGATTTTTGGGTCTGCATTGCTTTTGGAGGGATATTTAATCTTAGAATACTAGGTACCCTGTTACCTATTCACTCTTCACCCATAAGGTTTCTAATCAGATCTTGAGCACCGTCAGTACCAAAACAACTCTTGTATTTCCTTCTATGTCTTCCCAGCCAGATGTTCCATGAAACTAATCACTGATGGCATCTACAAATCTCTTCTCTGCTGCAGTCCTTCTGTGACATTTATTCAGTCTACAGGCGGGGGGAGGGGACTATAATATCACATTCCAGCTGTACTTGCTGCCCTTGTTGTCTGATCTTTTTCAGTGTAACACAATCATTGCTGCCATCCTGATAAAGTAACACAGCTGATAATACAGACACAATACTATACTCTTTCCATTCTTATTCTTCCTAAGCACAAACAAGGAATATACGGCTTTCTCTGAAGAAAAAACAAAAACAGACAAAAAATCCACACACAAAAACAAACCAACCACAAAAAACCCCAAACGCAACCCAAACCAAACACATGAAAAGCCAAAACTACTACCAAACCCTCCCAGAAATCCTGCAGGTTATGTTTCTACTACAGAACATTTTGAATACAAACCCACCTGCTGTAAAAAACTTACATTTGGAAGTAAAAACATTCAAAGTAAGTTTATTCCAAAGTGCTGTTTGTTTGAACTGTGCAATTAAAAATACACTAACAGAGTGAAAGACTCATAAAACTTTCTCAGCCTGTCCCCAAACAAACAGAAAAAGATACAGAAATGCAGATGCAGTGCAACTCAGAATTTTCATGCAGAGAAATCGGGAAATTTCATGCTTATGATTCGTTTGCTTTTTTTATAATGACACACAGAATGGATATCATAAGGTAAACCAGGTTCTCTGTTACACATTTGCTAGGTAAAAATAAAAAGATGTTCTAAGATTCTTGAGCATAGACTTTTTACTTGTGTTTAATTTTCAAATGTTAAGAAGCATAATGACTTTATTTCGCCGTCCTGAAATATGTGTACTTTTAGAAAATAGAGGACTGAAAGGTATATATTGCTTCTGACGTGTCTGTTGAGCCAGCTACTTTGATTCTGGTCAAATCTCTTTCATAAACAATTTTTCAATAGATGCTCAAGATCTTTGTATAATCACTTCAAGAATATGCAAACTTGAATTAAGTGACTGTCAACAGGGAAGGAATGTTTATTTTTAAAGGTTAGGAGGATTCTCATTTGTTTAAGTTCTGAAACACAATTGCTTTTTCCAGTGGCAGAACTATTGCATAATTTTACTTGTCCGTAGTTACATGATTATTGTAGCTTGATGAAACTTATTCAGATTTCACAGTAGTCAGTCATATTATATTTTAAATTAGCCTAAAATAGGTAACAGAAAATAAACTGCATACTTAGATTACATGCACTTGTGGGCCATCGGACTTCGCATCACACAGCCCATGATAGAAGCTGTTATGTATTTAAATAAGAAAGCAGTTTAAAATGGAAGATAAAGCTTAAACACAGTTAAAAAAAAAAACAAAAAAAGGCCAAATTAACACATTTATTAGCACTGATAAGAATTGACCGATGTGGCATTTCTGATTCTTGTTTGCATTAGAACAGCAGCAGAGACTGTACTTACTGCTATTGTAACCACAGTACGGTCAGCAAACGCAGTCATGACTACCTTCTGGAGTATGTTCTCCTGTGTAAACAAAAACATTTATTGCTTTTCAAAGAACAGAAGTCACATGGTAGTCACAGAGACACTAAGAGTAACCACTGATTATTCCATGCTTTTATTGATCCTACATCGCAGAAATGAAAAATTAACTACATGCCAGAACTAAGTCAAAGCCTGGTCTCCAGTTAGCCCTGCTTGTCCCTGCCACCCCTATTGCCTCTGGGCTTCAGTGCGTGAGAGCTGTGCTCTGGCCCCAAAATCCCTGCCAACCTGACCTCAGATTTACAGTGAGGAGAGCAAAGGTGAATTCAGGGTGCTTCCATACTGCCTGCATGCTGGCACATCTGTGCTGCATTCTTCACTTTGCTGCAAGTCTAGGAATGTCCCAGCACACTGGGGACATCTAACACCAAGGGGTGGCAGGGATAAGCAAGGGAGTATGCTGTACCTGGCATATTTAACAGTGGAGATGATATTCAATATGGTCTTAACATATATATTTCTCACTCAACAAGTACTTATCCTTTGCTATTTAGGAAACGTTGTTGTGTACCAAGCTGCCTAGAAATGTCACTAGCATAGATACCTTTATCTGCTATTACCTATTATTTAGATATGTATCTCAAGGGAGGAACTAGATCCTAAATGCATTAAAACTGAAAACGTATTTTAACTGGGCTGCCTACAGTAATCCCCAACCTTATTGACACCCACACACTAACATTTTACAGAATTAAAAGTTGCAGCTCTTGAAATAAACCCCTCCAATTATATTCTTTATGCTTAGAATGAAGAACACTGAAACATTTCTCATACCAACATAAGAAAGGTAAAAAAAAACCAACCCTTAAGAATGCATTTGGCTAAAATCCAGTCAGTGTGCTATTACTATGTGGTTTAACATCTGTCTAGCAATTTCAGGCAATTAATGCAATAATCCAGTATGTCTTTTCTATATCTCTGTTTATTTCCTTGAGTCTACTTTCAAGCCTTCTAAATTCCTGACTTATCTTGTCCACAAAGCTGGTCTGCTTGCCAATTTACCTTTCACTGACCATCCCCGCTGACCTTACAAAGCTTTGTTTACTTTAGCATATCAAACTGCCAATGAAAATCACGCTTCATTTTTCTAATGCAAGCAATGCTGGAATAACTATTAACCCCCTAGTAAAATGATTTAAAAGCTCTTTAGATTAGTTAGCAATGACTCACAACTATCTTGGACTTGTAAACACATCTGCACTAAATATGGTGTAAGCATATCACTGAGTAGATAGACTTGCTTTCCACCTTTTTATTTGCATATTAGTGGTTGTCTCCCCCTCAAGGAAGAGATCAGGAACAGCCCAGACTCACCGTTGCCATGTCAATAGATGCTGTGGCTTCATCCATGATGAAGATGCTTGTCTTCCGCACAAAAGCCCTTGCTAGGCAGAACAGCTGTCTTTGGCCCTGGCTAAAGTTTTCACCTCCTTCTGTGACTATAGCATCTGGAAATGATATGACAAAACCAGTATTTAGGGGCATGTGTGTGTGTACACGAGAGGGTCAGATCAGAGTAGAGCATATGCTTGGAAAATAATGTCCCACTTTCAGCATAAAGATTCTCAAAGTAACATATCCTAGCTCTACACCTCCTGGTGACCCCATTTTTCCTGTTTATTTCCATTGCTCAAAAGAACTAGTACTACTTCTGTCTCACTATATTCTTTGTATCTGTTAGACATAAAAGTAACTAAGGATGTTTAGGAGTGAATTTCTCTGGAACATGTGCAGGCTAGCTTACTGCATCCGCCTGTCAAAGTGGCATTCATAATTTCTTTACCCTAAGGTTGTATAACTTGCCATTTTTAACATTTTTCTTTGTTTGTGTTTTTGTGTGTGTTTTGGGGGTTGGTTGGTTTGTTTCATGGCCAAATATTTCACACCTTTAAGCTTTAAAAATCTTCCTCCCTGGATATGACTATTGGAAATACAAACAAACATATTGTAGGTAACACCTGACTAGATGACAAGTTATTTGAATTCACAAGACCCGTAAACTTCAATGCTTCATAACAAAGACATACTGAAATAAAATAATAATTTTACCATTTATTTGAATAGAAGCAGGATTCTGCCCCACAGGTACAGCTAGTAGGGGAATTAGGTGGATATAGTACTCTGCCTGCAGGCAAGCACTTTCTGTCACCTTCCAAAAACCTAAAAAACTTTTTCTTCAGCAAATACCTTTTTAATACATAGAAAATGTGAAACAGGAATAGAATGTTGTGCACACTGGAAGAAATCTTCTCAAGAAGGAAGTCTTATTACCTAGACCCCCAGGTAGCGCTTTCACCACATGCTTGAGCTGTGCTATTTCCAATGCTTCCCACAGCATGCTGTCAGTGCACTTCTTCTCAGGGTCCAAGTTAAACCTACAGTTATGCGTAATTAAAGAAGTATCAGTCAATATAAACTTCTGCAATATATTTCTTCTTTTAGTGCACTTAGAAATAAACCTGCAAATAATCAGAATCATGTGCTCAACATCTGGGCCTGATTCTGATTTATTTTTTATTGGTATAAATGCTCTGAATTTTGCAATGTCGGTCAACGTTTATAGCAATGTGATTAAGAACAAAGCCTGACTCTCAGTTGAGCAGTATTCGAAAAACTTCCTGTTTCGCAGATCTGTGTGGTTCTAGAATTTATTTTGTACTGAATAAACTAAAGAAATTCTTATGTTTTACTATAAAAACTTTTGGAGAGAAGAAGAGCTGTGAATATGATCAGTTTAAATTAACATTCGTTTTCTAACAAAGGCCAAAATTCTACCATCTCTCCTTTTAAATTCAGTGTCTCTGTTCTTTATTGCTACACAAATGCTAAACAGAACAATCAAGCTTCATACTGAAATATGAAATGCAAGTCTTCTGTACAACTGAACAAATCTTGGACTTAGGAATAGATGAATGCTGTTGTAGCTTGCTGTGGGCCCAGAAATGATAGCAACAAATGAGAATCTCATTTCAGTGTATAGAATGATAACTGGAAATAAAGATTCAGTGATGCGTAACACTTTATGTTTTACTTCTACTTTATGTGCCGTGAGTGATCAGTGCTGGCCTTAATAATTTTTTTTAATAGGTTAATTAATAAAACAAAGGCGTATAGTCACCTCATCTTCTGACATGAATGAATCATGCTCTATTCCAGGCAAGTCCAGGAGATAATCTTGAGATCTGTATTAGCATGGAGTCAGCAAACCACAAAAGCCTGTATAATTTTTAGTGAACTCTGACTAATATGTAGAAACTATAACTAATATAGGTGATGCAACTGTGCACTGAGGATTGTACTGTTCCTTTCTAAGGTAAATGCCACAGACAGGGAAGGATATTTCCTGGAAACTGTGGAGCTTTTTGTCACTGTTTCTACTGCATCATCCTCTCAGAGAAGGAGGGAGAGAAGCGTGTTTGGTCTCACAGATGAAAGAATGGCTCAGACTAGAAAGCAACATGGATAAGAGGTTCCAGGATAAAATACCTCAAACATCCCCCAGTACCTCTCATACTGCTTTAATGCTTCATCTTTTTCAACGTTAATTTTTCAAGTCTACATTTTTTCTGAGAGTCTGCATCTCATACTTTAGGGCAGTCAGGTGAAAATAGATGGAGAAGTGTTCTAGTTTCATCTGTAACAGTTACTTTTCTCCTTCCTAGTAGCTGGTGCAATGCTGTGTTTCAGGAAGTGCTGGGGGATTATGGCTATTTGCTTAGTGAGCTAAACTGATTACTTGATCCTGGAGAAATAAATAGTGACTTTCTGGGATGCCTTATGCCAACAGTGTGCCGAGCAGGCTCAAGCACTAGAAAGGTGCAGTATGGCAGGGGTAGGTAAAAAGCAAAGACAGAAGGCAGTGGTCCTCCCTGCTCCAACTGAGATGACAGGAATTGAACAGCTGGCTATCAGCAGTTCTGTAAAAGTCATTATATGGTATAATTACAATATATAATGGCATATAACTCTTTATATGCTTTTTATTGCAGGTGCTTAATGCTTACCGGATTGTTCCGCTGAATAAAATAGGATCTTGGAGAATGATTGACAGCCTGGATCTCAACGTCTGTAAGGGGAGCTTAGCGATATCTATACCATCAATGATAATCCTTCCTATTCAAAAGAAAATGGATCATCTACTAGACTGTTCATCATGCCACATAGCTGCTGGCAAAGACATGGCTCACTTTCAGCTTGCAATAAACACAGTACAGCAGGAACAGGCCTTGACTTGCATATCCCCTTATTCATGAAACACATTTTGGTTAAGCAGCAAGCACACTTGCACTTGTCTTGAGACTAAGCCTCAGCTGGGATGAATATGAAGCATACCTGTAATATTTTATGAAAGATTAGACACACTACTTATCTGCTTTACCATTATAAACATCTATCAAACACAAGGTAAGATATTACTTCAATCAGGGACTAGTTACCAGGGGGAACAAATGTTTCAGAAAGCCAGATTACTATAGAGGACTTTGAAATTTTATCTCCAGGTACAACTGCCTGGCTATGCCTAAGGGCCCTGTGGGTGATGTGGCTGGGAAACTGAGGCTAAAATTTTTTGAGATGCACAGGAGTGCTCTGTGAGGCACACTGACATGGCACACACAGCAGGAAATATGGCAGGACATTCCAGGGCAGCAGGCCAAACTGACAGACAGGGAAGGACATTTGCAAGCCAAACTGCAGCCCCCAGTTGCTGAGTTTTCTGGCCCAGTGGGTCCTATCTGTGCCTTGTGCACGGATCCTTCTTGTACTTGGACACCTTCCCTTTTTATGCTTTGCTCCTACTGCCATGGTTTCACAGCACAAAACACTATCCTCTGTCACTCTTGGACTTTTGCTTCTGTCAAGTAGAATTTCCACTGATCCAGCTTATGAATGGCACAGCTGTTAAGTGACAGATGACATAGTTAAGCAAGGCCAGAGAGTGTGTCCTGCAGATTCAAAAATCACACTTCAAAGCTGCTGCTGTTAAAGAAAGGACGACTAAAGCACTTCCAGGAGCTAAGCTTGAGCAATTTGCAGAAGTGTAATCTTACCTTCAAAGGTGTCAACCATTCTGAAAAATGCTAGAGAGAAGGAGGATTTTCCACTGCCTGTTCGGCCACAGATCCCAATCTGTGACACAAGAAGCAGATGAACGTCAGGTGAAAGGAAATGGATAATGTCTGTATTCAACATGTAAGATGAGTGGGTGTAGGAGCTGTTCTGATCCACATGATCTTTATGTCCTCCTGACAGTTCAGTTAAACTGAACTGGCTATAACAGAATCCCTAAGTTCACTCTTTGTCTTTAGAGATCTGAGCAGTTACAGATAAACCAACGCCAATCCTATATACAGTGGCGATGATGGGAATAAATGCAGGAGAGCCACATGGGAATGATGGCAAGAAGGTCTAACAAAGTAAGGGGCCACTGTTGCTTCTTTTGGCACTGTGTGCTGACAGAAGGGCACTGGGATACTGGGAAGTGGTGTGTAGTTCTAACTTCTCACTCTAATGAATGCCTAAACACACCAACCCCCAGACTCCTTTCCAGTACACTGCATTCTTACAGAGAAAAAAAAATATCTGTAATTCAGTCATCAAAACATGCTGTGGTATGGGTTTTTTTTTTTTATCAACTGTGATTTCTACAATGTGCTAGTTTAAAGAGCTTCTCAGAATCACTGCAGTTTTTTACCTTTTGTCCTGGAGAGATGTGGGCATTGACATGTTTCAGCACTGGTTTTAAGTTGCTGTCATATCGGACACTGAGGTTCTGGATTTGGATCTCCCCTCTGTCTGGCCAGTTCTGAGGAATCTGTGAGGCAGCTGTAACCAGGAGTACAGGCAAAAAAAATACTTCAACCCTCTCATAATAAATTAATCACTTCATTAAGTGATTTACTACGTTTTTCATGGTAATATACTGCAAATCATTAAAATTTCAGCAAGCTTTTTCTGCATGCTGCACAAAACTACACTTACACAGGAGCCCTTCGTAATTTTCAGCTTCTGTTTTAAGCAGGCCATTGATTCTTTTCACTGCACCCAGCTGGATTTCCATGTCAGCCAGGTTACGAACCATCCAATTCAGATAGTTAGACACCTGATGTAAAGCAAATACAATGCTAAATTCCAGGTTTTTAGTAGTTTGCATCATTTGACCAGCATGCAGTTTATATTCCTCCACAGTAACACTTGTTCAGCCTTAATAAACTGAAGTTGTGAATGAACCAGATGGTACACATGAACAGGCTGACGACAATGACTAAAGGCTAAATTTCCTAGCTGCAGTGCACAGATGCTTTGGTACTATGGCAATCTGAACTACACCGACAGAAAAGAGGAAGAGAAACAGTAAACACAGGTGAAAAGACAGCATCTTGGTAACTTCAGGTTTGGCAGTCTAGACTAGTATACCCGGGCGTACTCATAATTGATACACTGAAAAAATATTCTTCACAATGCAAGACAGTAGTAAAAATATGATGCAACTTGGCCATGTTTTGTTGACATATTTGAACTAACACTTCAATGAATATTTTATCTAGAAAAAGAAAGCATACACTCAAATATGTCAACCACTGCATGTGAACTGAAGTTGACACGTGGTTTCAGTGATGTTACAGTACCCACTATAGATGTACAGACACCTTCAATCTTCCTGTTCATCTTTGTGCCCTGAAGAATTGCAAAAAAAATGTTTGGGAAAGACAGAAAAGGTCCTGAGATTCTTACCATAAGAGCATAGGTTAGTCCCAAGCCTACAAGTCCTGAAGAAAGCTTATTATACAGGCAACTGGTAATAGAAGTGACAGCTGCTATGAGTACCACACATGCTCCAATGTACTCCTGAAGGAATATGAATAAGCTCCATCACTTTAAGTCTAAAAATGATTAAAACATTCTCGTAACTTTGCATATCAAAATTCAAACTCATTGCACAACTTGAAATACGGGCAGAAAACACCACATAACTCCATATAGACCCTGCCTAGGAACCCATTCTTGTTGCCTTTAGCATGTTTGGAGATGCTGGTACAACTCCTTCTGTGTACAACAGAAGGAGTTCTTCTGGAGAAGTCAACACAAATATTTCAGGCATGTAATGGAGATGGCTGAAACCGTGCAGCTATTGTTACCTGGGATGGAGGGAAATGCTCGTGTGGTCCTGTCTGTGAGCAGATCCTGTCTGTGGCTGGTGATGATGTGGGAGGCACTGCTGTTGCTGCTGAATGGCTACCATCTGTATTTATTCAAACAAGCTGTTCTTGCACAGCATGTATCTATTGGTTTGACTGTGTCCACCCATGATGGATTTAATCTAATTTAATTTAATTTAAATCATTAGTGATCTGACTTCCCACAGACAAGTCTGAGAAAAATGATGTAACAGACTAGAAAACAGACTCCGCAGGAAGGAAATCGTCACTCATATATGTTTGTACTGTTTAGGGACTTCAGGCAGTTTAGGACTGAATATACAAAAATGTAATAACATTTTATTTGTCATACTCAATATCTGAGTTTAAGAAGCAAAAGACACCAGCTAAAATTGAGTCCAAAATGGAGGTATAGCATGTGACATGAAACATGACTTAACATACACTTAGCATATGTGAAAGGAGCCCGGGTTACTACAACAGCAGTACCTGTATCTAACAAAGCCTGGTATAAATACCACCGTCCACAACACAGAAGTCCTTGATTTGCTTCTTAGGAAATTATTTTTAATAAATAATTTCTCAGGCCACTTTACTGAGTACTCTCAGGAAACAAGCACCTGAATATCTTTGGTATTCTCTAGATGACCCAAAACAAGGCACAGACTTGTCTATGTCCTTCTGCTCATTAGGAGAGCCTCCAAGATGTTGAAATGCTCCTGGGGAGCCATAAGGCAAAGGCCTGCTGACACTGACTAACCCAGTCCTACAAAGGCATCCTGGCTGTTGGCACAGCTTTACCCACTCTGATCACTCCTGACACACAGAGAAGCGAATGTGACCTACAAAATCTATTCCTGTCTTGGAGAAACAGCTGCAGGCTACAGGGAAAATTCATACTATGTTCAGTTTCCAGGATGGGTTTGGCATATGTTCATTACAGATAGAGAGATACAAATATAAAGAGTAAAGGTATAGCTCTGAAACTCAGATGAGGCTGAATAAATGTTGGGTGTCTCATCAGATTACTCAGAATGAAGTAAAATAACCTCGTGTATGCACAAAAAATAATGTACTTGCCATGCGGACTTCCAGCCAGCGATTGGCAGCTGTAAGGAAAAGGGAAGCGATGTTGTTGGAATCCGTGTATTCAAGAAGTTTTTGTCGAAATTTGGCTTCATACCTTAAAAAAAAAAAAAAAAAAAAAAAGAAAATAAGAGGAGAAAAAGGAGGAAAGGAGAAAGGAAAGAGGAGAGAGAGGAGAGGACAGAGGAGAGATGAGAGAAAAGGAGGAAAGAGGAGAAAAGGAGGAAAAGGGAGAAAAAAGGAGGAAAAAGGAGAAAAGGAGGAAAAAGGAGAAAAGGAGGAAAAAGGAGAAAAGGAGGAAAAAGGAAAGAAAGAGTAGAGGAGGATGACAGGAAGACAAGAGGAGGACAAGAAGAAAAGAGGCTTCAGATACTGAAGAAAAAAAAGTAAAATTTACATTCTGGGCCTATATGTTTCTGGGCAGTTTGACAGAGGGTCTAAATCAGCCTATTAATAGTTCAGAGTGACATCATCTGTAGATTTGTATTAGACCCATGCAAACTGTATTTGTACAGTATCTTCAGGAGTAAATGGATGGATGTTATTGTAATGATGAAACTCTATATGGGACTTCTGGATCACACTGGACATTTACAAAATGTATTTTATTACATGGTAGTTATGAGAGAGAAATCTGAAACAAAAAAATAAAACATATATGATAGAAATAATACATGCATGCACATGCTGCAGAATGCAGTTTATCTTCCACTTCATCATATAAACTCAAGTTTTAGTATTTACATTACTGTAATGCCTAGAAATAGTAACAATTTATAAAGTATAAACTCAAAGTATCTCCAGTCATACTGGCCATATTTTTAGATATGTCTTTATCTTAAACAAATGGAGCACTCTGGAAAACAGAAGTCCAAGCTCATGGTCCAACAAAAAGTAACAGACTGCAGAGAACTGTGTTCTATCATCCCCCCCTGCAAATGAATTAGCCACAAAACAAGATTAATGGCAAGTAGGTCTGTTTACAGTTTATTATAGTGGATCTGCACCCACTCATCGGAATAGCTGCATCAATGACTTCTGCCTTGAATTCAACAGATATGGAAAATGATTCCCTGCTCCACCTATTCAGACTGGGGTCTTGTAAGCATGCAAGTCAGCCCTTTTACCTGGGCATATTTATTTGCATAGGTGTAAATTACTGTGATGCTAATAATAAAGTGTACCAACAATTTTGTCTAATAATACAGAAGTTTGGCACAAATGCCTTCTCCAGGGAAGTTACAGAAAAAGCTTGAAGGCTTGAAAATCAATTTAAGTACCCAAAGCTTGCCTCTTTTTCCTCTGTTTATTACATTAGCAAGTTTAACAAACTTGCTGATCTCCCCTTATAAAACTTTAGCTTACTATGGCTGCAACAAGCACTACTTATTTATAAACTCAGCTCTCCTTGTGCTGATAGGACAGAAAGATACATTTTAAGTATGAAGTACATGGCTCAGAGAAGCTTTCAAATCTGTTCACTGCAGAGTATCTTAATCCTTCTTCTGAGTACAATATAATAAAGTTATGAAATTACATAAACCATTTATGCTTTTGAGGAAAAGGAGTAAGTGCCACTTTGTGGAAGTAATTTAGCTGTTCACAACTTAGCCATGTGCCAAGACATAGGAGACATGTCTGCTGTGTGCAATGGACAATGGCCTGGGCTGGCTGCTAGTGCATCAGTGTGTTTGCATAGCCTAGAATGGTTGTTCCTGAAAGCAGGCATTAGCGTCACACAGTGTCAGAGCTGGTGAGCTCTCCCTCTCCTCAGTTCTAATTACCCTCAGTGCCCTGCCATACAGAGATGGTTGTACTGCTTCTGGAACCAATTCTACCACATTTAACTTTCATATCTCCATACCATGAGGTACTATGTGATACAGATATGCCTTAGAAGATGAGAGGTATGCATCATCAGTCAGTTGTGCATATGCACATGGAAAGGGGATACAGAAAAAGTTACCACTGTTGGTGGAGTAATGCAGAAATACCAGAATTTCTCTTCAGAAAGTGTCCCCAGATTACCAGGCCTCTCAGAATACAGACCAGACATTGCCGAAGCCTTCACATTCACATTTTTTGGATTATTTAGCACCAACACTATCTGAAGTGCCAGATAGCAAACTACAAATCAAGCCAGGACATCATTCTGAAGGTGTATTTATAGCTGCAGCAGTAGCTGTCTTTCTGATCTCCCCCTGGATTTTTTGTGCATTTCTTTCCTTATGCGTTCTGAGTTAGTGCAGGACAGAGAGCTACCAATGGCAAAGACACTCCAGGAACAACTGGCACCTCCTAACTTACTGACTGGATTCCTGAATTAGTGTTATTTTTAGGGATGCTCCAGCTAGCAAGCCTAACTCCACTTCTGCTAATATGTTAGGCAGCTGAAAAGCTACACAGTCCTAAAAATAGCTAGGTTACCAGCTGATGCAGAAGGCTGGCAGGCAGATGGAATACAGAACTCCCTGAACGCATGTGGCTTTTTGGGTCAGAAACACATCAGTTACTGCAGGATTTAAGAAAAAGGAGGCACCAAACACAATTCTTTGACAGAGGAATTCATTTCCAGGTGACAGAAAGAATCAAGAGAGAATGATCAAGAAGACTGAAAATATTAGCTAGATGGCATTGAATATTATTTATTGTATCAACACCAGAAAGTGTACAGCCATAATACTGTAAAGATCCTCTTGAAGTAGAAAAATATAGGGGCTAATGAGAAAAGCAAAAATAAGAAATTGATTTTCCTTAAAACTGAACATAGACATAGCTACAAACTAGAGAATACTTCTGGCACTTACATTAAATATCCAGTAACAGTATATCCTATTTAGAATAGTTTATGGACAAGTTTATTTTGTGCTTAACTTCTATTATGAAATTAAATTTACAGGCTATGAGGAATAAGCACTACCATTTCAAAGACAGAATGGTAACAGTAATAATTGACAAAATGTGTAGACATCTAGATGAGAAGGGTGTGGAAGACAGTTGACTGCATTTGAGCTGACTGGGAAAAAACTAGAACAGCACTTGTGCAGGGAAAGCAGCTGGTAAGCTCAGTGGTAGTTTCACTGGTACCTCTACTAGTTTCAGTGTGACTGCCTTTTGTGTAACACAGATACATGACCCGAGCATGTCATCAGGTATTCCTGGGCTGCTCTCCTGTGAGCTTACAAGGATGGAAACATGAATCAAAACAGGTAACAAAAGACTTTGTTTCCAGGTTGTGTATTTTCAGAATCGGTATGAACAAACACATTTTTAGCTAGCAACCTGAAAAATAACTTAGGGTGTAATTACATCTTCCGAAGTCACTAGCATGTAGTTTATCTTACCAGGACATCAGCTCACTCACAAATTACCCTGCCGTAACAAGTTAGTGCATATTAGTTGTTCCATGGAAACTGTCCAAGCGCAGTCTGCCACACCGCATGCTATGGTAATTGCAAGCTAATTTAGCTTCTTAAATCACATTTTGCCCACAAGTGTTTTTTCAGGCTGCATGCAAGTCTGCGGACAGTTACCATGAGCAGCTGACATACATTAACCTGTTTTTGTGTAGTAACTCCTTCACAAGCAAAATGCTTAAAAAGTTCCCCCGACCAGTGTTTTGGGGACTCTGGATTTTTCAGGTGATCCAAATAACGATTACTAATAACTGCACAATTGCAGAATGGAACCAGAGACAGATATTCAAAAGCAAGATAACGTATGTTTCTTAAAATACTATACCTGAAGGCTCGGATGGTGGTAAGACCTTCAACAGTCTCTGAAAAATGGGAAAGTAATGGTAGCTGAGTACTGTCATCCAGCTGCTGCAGGTCCCTGGAGAGGATTATGAAAGGAATTTTGTAAGAAGCCAGTTCTGTTGTGCAGTTATTCTCTTGAAACAGACCCAGGGAGTGAAAGGGAATATCATCACATTAGTAATATGCCTAAGGTTTAAATAGATTGCAAAGCAGTGCTGCATGTCTCTGGGCAAGGAACAAAGACCCCGGGAGGATTTTTCTTTTACCATTGGAATACAGACAGTGCTGGAGTTCTGAATAGGTCTTCTTGTTCACTGCTTTCCCATATTTCTCCTATTCCTCTTTCTTATACTCAATTGTTTATTCATTTAAACACCTTTCTGACTCTATGCTGAACAAAATTTAATAAGATAATGCAAGTAAGAGCTCGGGTTAAGCTGAAGGCAAAATGCAACTTCCCCTCTCTCCCACTCCATCCCCAGACGACAGCTCCATCTCTCACTGAGCTAAAAGTATAACTCATACACTCAGGAGAGTAAATGAGAGCCTTCACTCATCATTAGGTTGTGCTTCTCAATTTCATGTTCAGTCATCAAATCTGTGGAAACACATGTGGGGTGAAACTCTATTTAGTCTTAGTTCCTTCCAGCAGGAAATAGATTGGTTGTGGACTCCCTCTTAGTCCATGCATACATGAAGGGACAAATGCAGCATTGCCACAAATGGTTCTTGAGTGCCACCAGGGGGGAAGCTGTATGACCTTAGAAGGAGAGAAATCACAAACATGGCTAAAGTTTTTCAACTTGTAAAAACTAAAAGGCACCCAAACCAAGACAGCATGCTCATGCACGTTGGATCCCTAATGGGCAGCAGTACCAACTCTCCCTGGCTTTACACATTTCCACTTCCATCTAGGTAGGCAGACATCAGTTTCCTTGTTCTGTCCTCACATTTTCTCAATGTGCCCAGCATGCATCCCTTGGGGAAGGCAGAATCCAGTTGATTTGCACCCTGTGAACTCTAAGAAACTCTGAACATGAACAAAGACTCCATGCTTGCCTCTCAGAAGTTCTGCTGCAGAGCTGCAGACAAAGGCACTTACAAAATGACACATTTTCACTAGAGTGGATTTAGCTCACTTTCAGACAGGGCCCATGCTTTTGCAGGACCAAATTTAAACATGAAGTTCCCTAGCACTGCAACTCCACAATGGAATCATGCATTGCAGAAGATGTATCTATTTCCAGAACGATAGTAGTTTATGCTCTTACCGTGATGCGACTCGGAAGTACTTCTGGATGAAGTAACACATGATCGCAAGGGGAACCAGGGCAATGAGAAACATTGGTGTGACATATGAGATGACAGCAAGAGCAGATACACACAGCAAAGTGGAGCGACTCAAGCACTCTAGGGTAGCTGGAATGTGCTGTGTAAAGAAGAATAACCACACAGAATCTTCCATAATAGATCAAGTTTTAAACAGAATTATTTCACTTCCCTTTCTCCCACTTACACAATGCAAACAATTTAGAGGGTTTGAAGTGCTAAGTAACAGGTCTGCTCTTGAATTGACTGCTGGATTTCGGAAGTTCTGAAGGGATTTCTGTGGGGATGCTTCACATGTCTGCACTGCGGACTACAGTCCTCACGTCAAGAGGATTACAGATAGGATACAACAGACAATTTTAATGTCTGCATCAATCCTGTGAACTGGCAGTGCTGTCTGGCGTAAACGCTGATAATTCGAGTTTCAGTCATTTCTACTTTGGGCAATAGTATTTGTTTTTTTCTCATTTCATTTGCTCATATGTGTCAAGCGAATGTGAGCATCTTAATCAAATAAATGGGTTTTCCATGTGCTTTTAAGATGAGGAATTCATTCTGAACCTAGAAAATCACAATGCCAATTGATGTAGTAGTCAAAATTATACATCAATAAACTTCATCTAGATGGGGCTATAATAAATTAAAATCCCATCTTTCAGGCAGGGAAAGATACGGTAACTTTGGAGCGTGAATATCTTTATTCAGTACCTGATCAATGGTATTGCAGTCAGCTGAAAATCTGTTCAATATACTTCCCAGAGGTGTTGTTTCAAAAAACCTAAAACGAGACGAGGAACGGGAAAGATCACCATACTGATACTAGAATGTTTTGTTTGTTTGTTCTCTTTTCTTCCCACACCCCCATGTCCCCCTGCTCCTTAAGCTAGGCACTATATCACAGACAAGTTCCTCATTTTTCCCAGTAACCATGGCTTTCCAATAAAATGGCAGCCTTGAATGTAACCCAACAGCAGCAACCCACCTCAGCTCCCTGTAGTGCCTAAGCGATGCAAATCACATGATTATGTTTAAAAACCCAATCCTTTCATATTGTAATTCGAGGCCTCTTCAATGCAGGAAAACTGCAAATGAAGTTAAATTGCAAAGGCTGGCATTTTTCTGGGAGTCGAAATGCATAACTAACAACTTGGAATTTTATATTAAAAGGCGTTTACGTATGCAAAATGCAAACTTCATTATTGCTCTGCTGTTGTTAACTGTTCCGTAGCCCATGTTGAACCTGAAGTCTACTTCTATCCCCAAAACAGAAGGTTTTAAAAAAAATTGTTTTTCCAGGTATATTATTTCTCCATGCTTTCTGGGTCAAATAAGGTTAGCTTAAAAATAAGAAGGTATTTTCCCTAATCTTCAGTAACAGCTGCAGGTTTGAATCAAGCTACAACTTTACTTTCATTCACTAGAAAGAAAACTTATGCAGGACAACAAAGGCCTTTATTGGTATCTCTGCATCCCAGTGGACTCTAATGATGCCTGTAATTAAACTCATCTAAGCTCATTATCTTTCATAGCTTGTACAATTTCTGCTTGACAGTAAATATTTTCAGTGCTTAAGATTATGATCCATGCAATGAAGGAACTGTACAACATATTGATCAATAATTGTAATTTCTCCCTAATTAAAAAATGTAAAGAGAATAAACATGCAAGGAAGTAAATCTCTGAAGTCACAGCCAGGCAGAAGCAGCATGAGACTAGTGTCTAGGAGCTTGATCAGCCTGGTTACCACTGTCAGAAATTTCTCAGTAGCTTGATACCTGGTGATTTTCAATGGGGCATTAAAAAAAGGTGATTCATAGTCACTTCTTAATAAAAGCTGTGCTTAGAAGCCTGCCTCAACATAAGGAACACAAAATGACTATAATATAATTTGTATTACAGTCAGAGGAATACCTCATTGGAGCCAAAATAATTTTATTTAGTAAAGAAGAATGTAGCTTTTTGGTGACTTTCAAGCCAGTCCACTCCACTGCTATTGATGTGACAAGACATAATACAATCCCAAGACAGCAGAGAATGCTGAAAACTTTTGAATATGGAGAATGGTTGAAATCCTAAGAAACAAAGAAAGAGTAACAAAATGATTCACTGTAAATTATGTTTTAAAGACACTGTAAGCACACAAACACAGGACTGAAAAAATGTAAGGAATAAATTCTATATTCTCCCTAAATTAAACTGCCAATGATTTTCAACCATTTTACTATTATTTATTATCCTGTGGGGAGAGGAGCATTTGCATGAAAATAAGAAATTCTTCAGAAATCTTAAATTACAAAATACTACTAAAAGCTCTGAAAAGATTCATTTGATAATTTCATGAAGAAAAATCTTTAAAACATTTATTATGGCTTCGTTGTTTTGGTCTATTTCTTAATAGAAACAAATAGATTACTTTTTATTTTGAAATACTAATTTAATATCAAACCCCAGCATGGAAAAAACATCTTTTGATGTTTTGACTCCAGTGAAGTCATACATGCACCTCCCAAACATTAATGTGAATTATTTGTAGGCATTAAATCCCAACAAAGAAAACAATCCCAGTTCTAGCAAAATCTCTCCACTACTGCTTGATACAGAGTACCCTGCTAGGTAACACTGTGCGTTTCATGCATAAAATCACACAAAAATCAACTGAAAAAGCATTCTCATAATAAAAAAATAGATGTTTCTCCTATATTACAAAACCTGAAATTCCCCTATGTTACGAAATCCGAAAGCCCTACGTACAGTGACAGCGTAACAGTACAGGAAAAATCAAAAAGAACTATGATATCAAAATCACTTTGGAGACCAGGTTTAGGCATATCAGGTAGATGATGAAAATACAATAAATCTAGCAAAAGGAGAATAACGCACAAACCGGAACTATTGGTTTTATTGCACTGTGCACCAGAAATGCATGAACCTTCAAAATAGCCTGGAGTGGCTCTGTTATAAAAATACAGCACACTGCATACAAATCTTGGCGCAGAGATTGACAGTGGGAAATCATCACCAGTTAAATCATAAGAGGAAGGTGAGTGAGGCATTGCATACCTCACAGTGAGAGCAGTTTTTCAGCTCTATCTCTGTCTTCCCAGAAATGGCATCTGAGGTCCAGCGTGCCAGGCAGTAGTCGATGGCCACCATTACTGTGTGTTTGAGCAGCTGGGACAGAACCAGAAGCGGCAGAAGGAGGATGCCTGCAGCGCTGAGGTACTTGCCACAGGCTCTCCAGGGCATCTTTGCTCTCTGATGCAGCACTGAAGACAGGTTGTCTTCATCATCACTTTCTGTTACTTCTTCTGCAAAGTGCAAGAAAAAAGTACAGCCACGCTGACTTCCTTGTACACACCTTCCATAGGGGCTTACCACACAGGATAAAGAGTGGCTTTAAGGTGAAATTACCTGGACAGGCATGCGCATATTAGTCTGTTATAGTAGTAATGAGTGCTAAAAAGATGCAAAAAACCTTTGCACTTGGTGCTCAATGTCTTCAGCCATGTTTTTGCAATTCAGAAGTACTAGCTTGATAAAAATGAATTGCAGCTTTTTCCTGTGTAAAACCTGAAACAAGTGTGCTTAGCTGTGGACAGGTTTGAAGTTCAACCAGCATAAATTACTCAGTATTATTTCTCTTTTGTTATCAAATCATGTTCAAGTGTAAGAATAATACCTCAAAAGTTTGGAGGAAGCTATGACTTCTGAATGCTTGAAATCACTGTAGTCCAAATGCAATACAAATGGAAATAGCACTCTTATGAACTGTGACCAATCTGAAAAATTATTATTCTCTTGCCAGTTTGAATTATGTTAATTCATGCTAACATAATTTAACCGTGAAACAGTGATGTAGTGGCACTGAGCTCAAAAGGTGCCCTTTACCTTCATCCTCTTCATCATCTTTCAGCAGAGCTTCACGGGAATACATAGTCCTCCGGAGATTTGTTCTTTCCAAAACAGATTTTGTCTCGATAATAGTCTCCTAAAAAAAGGACAGTTCATGTGTTTTCAGCCAGAGAATTAATAAGAAAAATTGCCAGCAGTGACAAAATTCATTTCTAAACAGAACATCAGTGAAAAATAAAAGTGAGAATCTTACAGCAGGCAGTTGTAAGTGATGGATTTGCTACCTCTGGATAAAACCAGATGACATAAATTAGATGACTGACACTAATTTCAGGTGGTCAGTCCCAACCCTCTTGAACCTTAACTTGGACAGATATCCCTGAATTAATAAGAACTAAAACTAATATCTCTTTCTTCCTGTGTTACAGCATTAAAGACAAAATGTGTTAAGCTTTATATAGGCACATCTGAAAAACTTACACCCAATGCAATGAGTAAATTCAGGCATATTCATAGAAGCAGTTTTGACTATTGCATGCTACCAGTATTTTTCCTAAAATGGTCCAATTTAATATTTCTTAGATGATAATATTTTGATAGGGCTTCCTATCAAGAACGGATCAGAGGCAACAGTTTCAAGGAGGTAAGAGATGTCCAGGTGAAGGAATTTCTCTTAACAGCTAAATAATAATAATTGTAATAGTAATACTACATTCATATTAAGCCAGAAATCACACACAGCATGTCAATCCTTGCTAATGCTTTCAACCTAAGGGGAAAAAAAAAAAAGTCTAATTTTTTGAAAACGTTGATTCCCCTGCCCATCAAAAACCTTCTCCAGCTCTTGGTCTTGTCGATTCATTAATGTCTTCCAGTGTTCAAAGAGCTCAGTCTCTGATTTCTGAATGTCCTTGAGTGTTCCTTCTCTCTGGATGGTACCATCTTTCATCGCAATTATCTAAGAAGTTAGAAACACAAGTGGTGAGATAAATGGCCATGTATCTCTATTTATTTTAAAGTTATGTTACTGTGCCTGGACAGAATTTTCTCCTTTCTAAAATAAAAAATATTTCTGTCAGTAAATTTGTCTTCTAAGAAGACAGTGGTGTAATCACTTGACTCAAGTCATAGAATCATAGAATAGTTAGGGTTGGAAAGGATCTTAAGATCATCTAGTTCCAACCCCCCTGCCATGAGCAGGGACACCTCACACTAAACTCTGTCGCCTGAGGCTCTGTCCAGCCTGGCCTTGAACACTGCCAGGGATGGAGCATTCACAGCTTCCTTGGGCAACCTACTCCAGTGCCTCACCACCCTCAGTGTGAAGAACTTCTTCCTCTACTCAAGATCCTGCAAAACCAGAAACATCCTGCACTTCATGCTTTCAGAAAGGAAGGCTGCTTTTAAGGAAGAAAGAAGAATGGAGTCCCCATCAGTAGACAGGAGAGCACATTACTCTTCCTAAATACTAGTCATTAACAAGATTTTAGAGTTCTCTTGCCTCCTAAAAGGAAAAGGCTATTAGCAACACACTGTGTACAGCATGCTTTGCCCTCATTCAGGCAATTAGATGTGAGCATGCTGGCTCCACTCTCTGTTTGATCAAATGGACCTGATAAGGAAAAGCTAGGGAATTTGAATCCCTAAAGCTTTTAACAGCATAAATAGTGGACACAGTTTGGAAAAAACCCAAACTATACATGCAAGACAAAGCCTGAAGGGTGTGGTTTCCAAGTTTATATCAATGTAACTATATTATAGATACAGTGTAACTACCTTTACTTTACATTTGACAAGGAGAATTGGAAAATGAGGCGTGTGGATTGTAAATCCAGATGACATCATCAGAAAATAGTTAATGCAGTGTTTATTTTTCTCTCTCCCTGGAAACTCAGAAATTTCCATGGGCAAAGGGTGTGGGGAAATAATCTATCCCACTTATTGCTAAGGATTTACACCAGAGGAAAGGAAAAAATAAAGCAAACAAGGATCTTGCTGTGGTCAGTTTATTCAGGAAACTTGTAAGCGGACTGGACTTGAATTCTTCTCAGAGTTTTGCTACGAAGATTTAGGAGGCCCATCACATAGACCTCAAATTATATTTTTATTTCAAATTCCAAAGTAAAAC